GGCTATTTCTAAAAAAAAAAAATAAAAAAAAAAAAAAAAGGGTCAATTCCGACTTTACTATGACAATCGGCCACTTCTGAATCAGCGACTGTAAGTATGTTTTGTTATCAGTTTAAGTATTTGCTATTGACTGTTCAAATGCGGAGTTTTGCGAAGCGCAGAGTAATGCGTCGTGTGTGTAAAAAAGCCTATGTTCAGTTCATGTTTTTATATTAAAAGGGCTGTACAGCGGTCAGATTGGTCATTTATTTTTGTTGAGTAGGCGTGGGATCGCAAGCTTCTGCAGGCACGTAAGATGATAATAAGTGTAGCAGTCGCGCCTGTGCCCTCCCGAACTCAACAGCGCCCCACACATTTTACAATGTAAATCTGTGGTGAAAAGTGGAAGTGCAGCACGCTCTAACTGGGAGTTTTGAGACTGCCCCGCTTATTTTCACGTTACCTTATCTCGCTCCAGACCAGGACCGTTTTCAGTCAGATTCAGCTATATGTGTCTGCATCAGGTCAGTAACTAGCTAGTATGTCTGTTTTTCCTATGTGGTGTAGTGTTTTAAATTAATGAAAGTGTTCATCCTTATGTAGTGATGTTGTCAAAACGTCACCATCATTAATTAGGTTGCCAATGAGCGACTGCCCGGTTAGGGTATATAAGTTGGTTGGTTCTGCCTCTTGGAGTGCGTCATGGTTGAAAGCCCGCCCCTTTCCTCCTGTTATGGCCTTCCATGTGTGTTGTTAGGCTGCTGAGATATACTGGGTGCGTGCGTTGTTTGCTCTCAGGTAAGTAATGACGTATGGGAAGCTGGGGGAAATTGTGTTCAGCTTAATATGAGTTTTTGTGTTTCAGTGCGGTGTGCCTTCACGGCCCCCATTGATTGTGGCCTCGCAGTGTAACGTAGCCCAGGTCATGGCACCAGCTGTTGTCACGGTCACCTTTTAAAGAGGAGCCTTTAAAGAGGTTGTTGTATGATCCTTATATCTGTTGTCATGAGCATTACACCATCGTATTAACAGGTAGGTAAATTGCTCTAATAGCTAAATAACCTCACATGTTTCATTGTAGTTGTAATTGTGCTGTGTGTGTTTTGGAATGGGTTGAGCGGGAGGGGTAATTAATACAGCTCGTTTCCTATTCTGCATTGTTCGAGCCACGCTGTTGCTTTTTGGGAGTTTAATTACGTCCATGTCTAGTATCCAAGTGGGCTTGATGTTTGTTAGTTTAATTTGTTTGTTTTTGATTTGGTTTTGAGTGATTTTGTAATTTTGTTTTCTGTTACTTTGTGAATTCTTTTACAAAAGTTGATTGTTTTGTTTTCTTTTGTTGTGAATATGGACATTCAATCTGTGGTTTATTTTTAATGTGATTTTTTTTTTTTTTTCTCTTTTCCTTTGCTTGTAGGAGTGGAGTGCTTCCGGGAGCAGGCTGGGTTTTGACAGCACCACGGACATTATTTCACTGGGGGTGGCCATTTTTGTGTGTCACTATTGCTGTTACTATTTGCAGTGAATCTTGTGGGTGTGATACTGATTGGTGTGTTTTTTTTGTTTTGTTTTTGTTTTTTCTTGGACCCATGACATTGGTGTGTGCTGACTGTGGGTTTTAAACTAATATCAGCCAATTCTTTTAGCTTTAATAAAAGATTGTTTGTACGGAGATTCATGCCTCTTGCTCTTTTCATGTGGAATGTATTTGCGTGTCCTTTGGGTTATTTTCCCCGGTATTTCGGGGTGGCATAGTCTCTACAACGGGGCCACCTGCTACACTTAGTTTAAATGTGCTCTCATCACGTGAAAAGCCTATATATCGTTTTGTTGTTTGATTTATGTTTGTTTTGAGATGAGACATGAGATTCGTTTCCTCGCTTAAATTCCTCTACAATTTGTAACATTCTTAATCCACATTCGGAGACAATATTAAGGCAATAATTCAATAGCATTCTACGTGTGTGTACTTCGAGCCTGTCAATCAACATTAGCACGCCCACAGGCTGAATAACGCAAGGACATTAGATCTCTGCCAAAACTATATACGTTTGAGTTTATTATAAACTAGCGCTAGGACCCAGAATCTGCCCCACCTAAATTTACGGTCAGGAGCCGCTACTGTGGGCAGCGCTGTGTCATGCCACATAGCTGTGCACAAGGTGTTTGAGTCTCAGCTCCAGGTTCAGGCTTATTTGTTCATTTAATGACGTCATCAGTGGCTCGTCGACTTGACTTTCGTCACATATAAATCGACTTAAAATATCAGAAGTCGTTCAACTCCTAGTAGCTATACTAAGTCAAGAGTAAACCTAAAGTAAATCAAGTACAAGTACTTCCTACAGTTCTTTTTAGTAAGAACTCTTGTGTAAGTGAACTATATGAAGCATTTGTCAGGACAACATACTATTCCTATTTCACTTTAAGGCAATCAGTTTGCATGTTTTTTTTGTTTTTGTTTTTTTTAAGGGGTCATATGATGCTGCTAAAAAGAACATTTTGTGTATTTGGTGTAATGAAATGTGTTTATGCGGTTTAAGGTAAAAAAAAAAAACTATTTTCCACATACTGTACATTATTGTTTCTCCTCTATCTACCACCTTTCTGAAACACGTAGATTTTTACAAAGCTCATCGGTCTGAAAAGCGAGGTGTGCTGTGATTGGCCAGCTATCCAGTGCGTTGTGATTGGCCGAATACCTCAAGCGTGTGACGGAAATGTTACACCCCTACCATATTGTGATGATGCCCACATCTGATTATTTGGGTTGAAGTGTTCTGGAACAGTGTTGTAAATACAACTTAACCACTGATTTCTTGTCGTGTCCATTTTTGGAAGGCCAAACAAAGTAGTTTCGCTTTCACAACGAAACACAGCGTCACACACTAGAGGCCTAGAGTGAGCAGAAGACGGGGGCAAGAGTGAGGAACGGCCGGAGGGCTGAGTGAGCGGAGGCGGCGGATTCGACGAAGGAGGCTTGCGGCAACCACATGTGACGACTCCGGGCTGGACTCCGCTTCGTCCACGGTGAAAGCCGATCCGGCGATCCACAGCGCAAAGTTGATGTATTTCCTCAGCAACCAGCACGGATCAGCTCTAGGCATGACGAAGCGGATATCGTCCTCTTTTGGAAGACCAAACAAAGTAGTTTCGCTTCCACAACGAAACACACAGCGCCTTTACGACATGGCTGCGGCGGCAATAATACTACAGCGAGAATAAAAGTTACGCCTTCTTTCTTTGCGTGAACATTTGGGCGGCGTTATGCAAATCTTACCACATAGTGACGTAGATATGTGGGGGCGTGTTAGAACGAGCCGTTTTAGGTAGGTGTGGTTGACTCTTAACTTTTATAAAGAATATCTCTTTGGATTTGAGACTTTAGTCTTTGCAACTTTACAGATCTTCTTTATGCACCAAGAGCTTGTAACACTCCAAAGAGAAAGGAAAAATTGAAATCGCATCATATGACCCCTTTAAGTAAGACTAACTACAATAGTCAACATTTGAAGTGGGTCAAAACCTTTCATCAAAGTTGTCCTAAAACCAAAACAAAACCCGTTCTTGTCTTAGGACAACTTTGATGAACTTTTTTGATCCACTTCAAATGTTGACTATTGTAATTAGATTTTACAGTGTATAATGCAGAGATTTTTGCCCAATTTGCAGTCCGGGTGAATCACCAGGTCAGGGCCAGTCTGCAACTTCAGTCAGAATAGACAGATTTCATAAAAAACCACATAGTGTATGAAGGGCACAGATAGATTTTTTTGTCTCGTTTTTTTAGACTAGTTCCATCCAATCCAGAGGATATCAAAACATGTTTGGTATTTTGTTAAGAACACATTATTTCCGTCATGCATCTCCTAGTATCGAGGCACATGTTTCTGTGTGAGTTTGTTTTCTGAATGACTTGAAATGCTTGCTAGTGTTTGATCCTCAGCTGTTTAGTGTATGACGCTCAGTTTTTCCTCTGTAACAAAGTCGGCAAGTGTATGATGGCTAGTGTTTTAAAATCTGTAGCAAATTTTGGAATTATGGGATTTTGAAATCTGATTATCACATTTTAACATAATATTAAAATAAATTATTTAACATAATTTATGTTTTTGTTGTTGTTGTTGTTGTTTTAGAAATATGAATAAGCTTCCATTCTATGTGCAATTTTATGATTTCAGATGTCAGAAAATGCCAGAACTGGAGTTGCTCACCTCCTCTTCTGCAGCATCTGCAGTCTGTGATTCAGTCTTGTGTTTTCATCTTGCAGCGCATGACATTGTTCCTTCAGATTGTTACATTCATCCATCAACAGACCCACTTCACCTAATCAAGTAATGCAAGAAATTAGAAAGCTATGACATTTACATGAATATTAAAGTGTATGTCTGTACAAGACACTTCTGATTAAAGCAACTTACAATAAATTGTACATATCCTGAAATAAATATGTTGGTTTTGCTTAAAAAACGTTCCCTATGCACAGCCATCTCTCAAGATTTATATTGCACCATTCCTCACCCCTTTCTTGGCCTTTCATTGCCAGGAATGATCATTATAACCAGTGAGATGCATGCAGTCATCCTCGCTCTCAAAAGTTTACTGCATCTTCACATAACATTGACAATTACCCACACCATCAGCTATTCTCCAGGAGCTCTTCCCACTGGACACTGTGTGCTGCAAACTTTTCCGAAATGCTTCAGGGCTCCACCCTTTATTAAAACTAGTGTGATTTATGGTCATCACTGCAGGACGCTAACCAGCTTTACAAATTGAGCGAATCCATCATGCATTGATTTTAAAATGATGTCAACATGGACATTGGTGGATGTTTCAGACATAGTCTAAATAAAAACATCAACATATCTGAAAGAAAATTTACAGTAAGTTGAATTGATTGTGCAATCTGAATCAATAAAGTTTGAGATGATCAGAAGTTCATATTAGAAAATAACATTGTATCCATTAATCCTCTATTTTAGCTTCTGAGACCAGGGTTTTTTAAAATATGGAGAGTGTGAATTCCACATGAATTGTAATTTGTCAGGTTTCATAAACTGGCCGAGAGCAGCTGGCTGAAAGGAGAGCAGAACATTATTGCTTTAAGTAATAAAATATACCGTAATATTATTATTTAAACCTAGTGGTAACACTTTAAGGACCAATTCTCACTATTAACTAGTTGCTTATTAGCATGCATATTACTAGCATATTAGCTTATAAAGCACATATTAATGTCTTATTCTGCATGACCATATCTTAGATCCCTTAATCCGACTCCATACCTACACCTCTTACTAACTATCAATAAGCAGCAAATTAGGAGTTTACTGAGGCAAAAGTCGTAGTTAATAGTTAGTTAATAGTGAGAATTGGTCCCCAAACTAAAGTGTGACCAAACTGGGTAAGTGGGATATCTGGATTTCCACTGGGGATCGTTATAGTTTTTAATTGAATATTGAATACATGTCTACAAAGGGGGAAAAAAAAACTTTGCAATGCACCTGCGTAGTTGTTTTTGGATTGAATTTATGACTGTGATGTGTATGTGCTGTACACTGTTATAGATTTTGGAGGTCAAAACTCAACTTTTATGTTGATTGTTGCATTGAAAATGTTCAGCCAATGTTAAAACATATTCAGTTCACAGAATTGAGTAAACTAAGAGTCAACACAACATTTTGAGTTTAGACCACCAAAATCTTTTACAGTGTACCTGCTTTTAAATATTTGTTTTTATTTATCTACTATTTATATATACTATTTATACTATTTCCATTTATCATCAATGTAAATTGTGATTGTTTATTGTATGTTATGTATTAACAGAATTTATTTAAAAATGAATAATTACATTTTTAATACACATTTGTTCGTAATGTTATTGTTTTTGTCACCTTGAATCAGTTCAATTGTAAAACTAACCATAGTTTTAGGTATAATTCCTCATGTTTAATAACTTATACTGTAATAATGTTGATAATGTTCATAATTGTTTATGTTAGCTCTAGATATCAAAGTAAATGTCTCAGAGCTCTTTCAGTGTGTTTCTGTTCTCACCCTCCTTCCTCTGCTGCAGACGGCTCAGGCTCTTCATCTCTATTTCCGCTCGGAGCGTGACGATCTCCAGCTCGTACTCCTGTCCCGTGTTCTCCAGTCGTGAGGTTTTGGCCCGTAAGCGGCAGAGCTCCTCCTGCAGACTGGCGATGTCGTTCTCTCTTTCGGCCGCGGCCTCCTCCGCCGCCTGCTGCTGCAGCAGCACCTCCTCCTGCGCCGCCCGCAGCTCCTCCTGCGCCTCCAGGAGCTCGCTCTCCTTCTCCTCCTCCAGACTGTCCATCTCCTCCTGGACAGAGCGAAGCTGTGCTACAGGGGTCGGGAGATCATAAGAAATTAGGGGTGTAACGGTACACGTATTCATACTGAAAATATTCGGTATGGGTCTTTCAGTTCGGTACGCATGTGTACCAAACAAATCGTTCCATTTTTTTTTTCTGGAAATTCAGACAATAAAACCCGTTTTGACACTCTTTGATGTGGCGTGACATATCGCTGTATAATAACGTCTCAGATCAAACGCCTGTGGGAGTGAGTGCGATCATCCCTTCCTCTTTACTACTAGTTATAGCACAAAATAAACATGAATGAACATCTCATGCCTCATGTAATCGCTCAATCAGTGTTTCAACTGCGGAAAGACGTCATTAAAACAGCTTGTAAACAAAATGACACGTACAGTAGCATCTCATTTACCTCAGTCATCAATGTCTACAGCTCATCAGTTCACCAGAGAAATGAAGTCTAGTGAAGAGCATTTTGTGAAATATTAGACTATATACTCATTATATTTTACTTCACCTGTTAGTGATGTCTTAATTATGTAATGTATATGTTTAAATAAATATTTTATTAAACAAATTATGACTAAATTATTATATTTCAACAACAAATAGAAATTGAATTATTTAGAAGTTAATGTAAAAACAATTTACATGTTTGCATGCAATTTTTTAATTTGAGTGTTATTATAGTTATTAAGTTTGGGCTCTGTTGTTAATTGTAACCTTATAGTGATGTAAAAGGGCTCCCTATAGTTTAGAGCAGAAGCTGAGGTAGATTTTTATCCCTAAGAAAATTTTAATTATCACATCATTTATGACATCAAAACCGAGGAACATACCGAACAGTCATGTTTGTGTACCGTTACACCCCTATAAGAAATGCATGACTTTTTTGTATGACAAGCATGGAAAGTTCACTTCACTCCTTCCCAGTATTTTGAAAGAAAAGTTTACTCCTCACATATAATAATTGCTGTTAATAGTGTTCATCGTCTGTTTGATTACGTCTTTAATTGATTTTTCCGTACATTTCTGCCATATGTACATTAACTGACGGTCACCACTGATAAGCTACTACTAAATATATTGTAGAAACTTAATTTTCTGTAAAGTTGCTATGCAACGATTTGTATAGTGAAAAGCGCTATACAAATAAACTTGACTTGAATTGAAATGAAATAGACAGCATATGCTTTGTTATTTTCTCATCTAATCTAATGATAATCATCACATCATCTTGGGTTTGAGTATTCAGAACGTAGAGTCATTGTTACCTTGCAGACGCTGGATCTGTCTCGTGAAGGCCTCGGCCTGATGAGCACTAGCTAAACGCTCCTCCTCAAGAAGACCTGGATAGAGATTGAGAAAAACATTTGAAATAGCTTAAATATTTAGCTTTAATGTAGAACATTTTAACAACACAATTATGTATAACAAGCTACATCGCACAAGCAAGAGCGTTGTTTTATCTAATATCATCACAGATAAACAATCAAAAGTGGGCCTATGATATAATTTATTTCTGCTCTGACAATGACAGTTAGTTTGAATTAAGCTAAATCAGAACCTCTCTTTACATGTTGCCAAATGAAGTGTTGCCGTGACATACAGTGGTAGTTAAACTGCACTCTTGGGACACTTCTTGACCAATGAAATTAGACGACCAGTACAATTGTTGTATGGCTGCATATTTTGTACCCAAACCAGGGCAGGGCTTGATATAGGCCAGTCTTCAGCATTACGCTATATATTGCCAATTTTTGTGGCCATAGAACTGGAAATAACGGCAGGTATTTTACACAACAATGCACGAAAAACCCCTACTTATCAGAGGCAGAGAATGAGCCCCCACTTATAAAATGTTTGTCCCTGGTCCTGTGAATTTTAGCAGCGACCTTGACCTGATGAATGTAGTTCAAGGTAAAGCTCTTGTTTACTTACAAATATTTGCCTCAAAGAAAATTATTAAATAACTTTAAAATAATTCATGCAACAAATATTGTAAACATTGGCAAGCTTGCCATCACAAAAAATTATATATATATATATATTTTTTTTTTTTTTTTTTTTTTTTTTTGGT